TCAACAGTTTTACTGGAGCGCCATGGTAAAGTTTCGGGGAAAATTTGGTAAAATTTTCGAAAATTTTGAAATAGGTACGAATGTGAGGTACGCGATAGTTCCGGAAGGACATGATGGTGACGCTAATGGGAGATCTATGATGACTATCGGTAGGTTGGAATTATGTTGATTTCCTCAGCTGAGGAGTTTTTTCACTAGAATTCGGGTAGACGTGCAGGGAAAAAAAGAGAATTTAACGGAAATTTTCTCAAAATTTTCTCAGAATTTTCATATTTTCCATTGTAAGCAATCTTGATTTTACGATGGGTTTTCAGGTGAAATTTTTGGTATATTTCTAAAAGGAGAAGAACAGCTGAACTTCAGCGATTTGCAAGTGAGTTGGGGTGTACTTATATATTTCTTGCCGATTTCATTTCAAGAGTCTTTTATTAGATTTAGAATAGTTAGTACATGACGAATTACCCACATATAGGGGATTCACCCGTAAAACTCAATGTGAAAAACGCGATATTCGTGGTATGCAGTAGTCGTGAAATGTGTTTTTCACTAGTGTTTTACATATCACGGTCGTGAAACTCCAATGAAAATTTCCCAAAAATTCCTCAGAATTTTCATATTGTCACCGACATTAGTAGTTGACCATGCGCATAGGTTTCCATTGAATTTTGCTGTTTTCTAGATATCACAAACCACGTTGGAAAGGATATTCAATGCGTTTGCGATGGGAGCTGCTACTGTTTAGTTAATTTTCAAAGGCCGCGTATTCGGCCGTTTCCGCTGTCAATTTCTCAGTAAGATAGCGAGTGAAGTCGAATTTGAGATTCTTGTTGCTCATGTGAGTGCACGTGTTGAAGTGTGATATGCTATGGATACTGACTTGTGTTGATCACAGTTTTGGGAGGTAAATTTTAGTGAGCATGAACATATAGGGTGAACCAAACCGTTACGCAAAGTAGTAATCATTTTTTGGGAGTACGAAAGTGAACATGATAACGATGTGAATCGATTGACATAAACGTTTTGTAGTACCTGGACTCTCGGAAAATGAGAAAAGCTATCTGGGAAATGTAGGTATGCATAACTGTTTGCTTCGCACTAAACAGGCGAGGAAGATGTATGAGGACCAGCGAGGAAAATGTGCATATGGTCAACTAAAATTCCGAGGAAATTTCTGGAGATTCTCTGTGGTTTATACACGATTTCGTATATTAGCTCCACTAAATAGTGAGGAAGCTCCTGAGCTCAGCTGAGGAAAACGAACATATATTCCTCCAACGCTGATGAGAACAAATCGTCGCCTCTAACACACCGAGATGATTGCCTTGATTACTCTTGAGAATCGTCGATGTGAAAAGTGGCTGTTGTATATGATAATGGCGGCTAACACTGTATCTACATCAGATGAGATAGAGGTTCAGCAGAGCGCGGTAAGCAACGAGGGAAAATATGCAAATACACTGGAGTTTTAGCCGCGATATGGAAGACATTATTTTGCAGTTCAGTTCGCGAAAAACGTATTTACTATTGAATATAATGACAAATTATATGTGTGATAATATAATTTCTTGAAAAAGCATAACGTGAAAGTTAACTTCATATCGCGAATATGGCGTTTTTCACATTGAATTCCACGCCGTTTAAGGGTGAAACTCCAGTTAATGACAATGGAGATCCACCCGTGATGCCCGTTTCACGTGAAGTGGCGCAGAACTCTGTGGAAAACGCGATAATTGCGCTATGCAGTAGTCGTGAAATGTGTTTTCCACTAGTGTTTTTTTATATCACGGTCGTGAAACTCCACTATATTCAAAATAATATTAATCGAAGCGAAGTTCAATTTCAGTTTACTTGTCAGGGTTCAGCAGTGCTGGCCTCCCTAGTTGAATATATGCTTGAGAACACGATGCATACAGCAGTAGGAGGAAGTATAGCAAAAGAGCTCGCTTCGCCATCTGAAACTATGTAAGGTGTGTTCTCGACTACGTTAGGGTGTGTGATCGCTTACCACACGATAGAATTCGGGTAGGAGTGTATAGAAAGCAATGGGAATTCATTATGGGAAAATGTGAAATTTTTGAGAAAATTTCAGAAAATTCTTATATTGGTTTCTGTTCGATTCTACTACAATTCGTATATAAACTCCTCTTATTAGTGAGGAAACTCCTTAGCTCAGTTGAGGAGAGCGAACAAATATTCCAACACTAGAATTTTCCCAAAAATTCCTCAGATTTTCCATATTGTCACTAAATTTTATCACTTGCAGATATTCCTCAAGCGGGCTCTGTATTGGAAAGAACGCCAAATTGGTGTCCCGCGGAATACAAGTTGATCGCTCGTTTTCACCAAGACGTCTACAAACAGCTGAAAGTTTACAAGAGGAAATCAAGGTGTGCATGCGTGCAGTTTTTGAGAACTTTATCAGACTACAGTGCGAAATAAACTCTGAATTTTCGACATAGTTTTCCCCAATTTGAGACTAGTACGACTATAGACTACCGAACGCTTGTAAGACATTTTCAATCGATTCACACTGGAGTTTAACTCGTTTCACATGAATACCCT